AAACATCATTTAAAAGAGAACCCCCTTAAAATACTCCTACACTCTTATCTCCCTGAAACTATCACTTCAATCTCAACTTAATTGCTATTTTTTACGCTATTGTTTTTTATTTAACTTTAATGTCCCATTATTCATTTATTTAAAATAAATCTCCTCCCAGTAGCATTGAAATGTTCCCCTTCATGAATAAAAATCAATAGCAGCAACACCGACCTCATGTTCAGGAAAAACAATTTTCATTTTTACACTCGTAATGACATGTCACGTGCATACAAGCGACTGATTTTACGGATTTTTTTTTTTATGAATGAATGTATCTAACTCGACATAATACGGTTGCATTTACATATCAATTTTATAATGGCAGTATATAATTTGCATAATGTGATTTATGATGTGATATATTCAATATTATGTTATATGTCGATTGAGAAGCGGAAATGCAAACGTGTGGAAGAGGAAATTGAAAAGAAAAGTTTTTCTGGAAACTTTTTTTATTTGCTACTTTGTGTCGCGAAAAAACCTTCAGACTAGTTTACAATTACTAAATGTTTAAGTGCAATAATAATTAGGAAATGTGACAGATTCCTTTCATATTTCCCATTATTTTTTTTTGCACTTAATCTTATCTCAACTGATTCATTCATTACTATTACTATGTCTCGTACATAAGCTATTAAGTGACAATGAATATTATTCTAAATTAAAATTACTGTAATTAGTTTTTATTGAGATCACAAAAATATTTGAAGTTAAGTAGAGCTTGAATGGAGTCTGGGGTTGGACAAGGGGTTTTAAAAAATCCAATAGAGTCTACAGAGGGCCATCAAGATCCAACATTGAATATTTACTAGAAAAATAATCTAGCACAGATTTTTAGGGCTACCCGGGGTAGCTAGTCTCGAATCAGAGATATGCAGACAATATTATTGAATTTAAGTAAGTATTGAGGTAGGGTCCTGAACTTAGCCTAAGAACCGAGCCCCTAGACTTCATCATAAGGTCTGATCTTCTTTCTAAACCTCAAAAATCCACTTGCTCCACCCCTGATGCCGATAAAAAGTATGAAGTCAGCACTCTACTCTCCACATGCTAATCTTCTTCATATGATTCAAATATTTAACATGCGCATGTTATCTTATCTCCTGTTGCATTCCAACTTCTGTTTATTTCATTTTCTTCTCGTATTCTTATTTCATTTTAATGAGCAACAGCAAGATTCTTTCAGCTTGATGTCAACATACTATTTTATTTTCTTTCATTCAATTCATTCACGAATAGTTCTGGCATGTCGTCGATGCTTTGACAATTTCATTATTATATCCACAAAGATGTGCAAATAATCACATTATCTTCTTGTAGCTATTTACAAAATAGTCAAGTGTCTATACGTAAAACATAAGGTGACATTCAAATGCATATTGACTTTTCTTCTGTACGTCTTATTTACGCCCTCTTAGCTTTTTTTTTGAGTTGTGAGCTTAATGCTTAGTTATCTGATGTTAGTTACGTGTGAGGAAAAAAATATTAAAATACGAATAATATTAAATGAGTTATTTATGAAGATGAGATAAGTGCTTTACGTGTACATATGTTGCTGTTTGGATGGGAAAATAGTTTTTAAAATTAAGATTACAATTTTTTGTTGGGTTTGAGTGCTTTAGATTCTGGAAGAAGTTTGATTCCGGGATCAATCACACCTGGTAAAATTAGAGTCATATTTGTTTGAACTAAAGCTAGTCTCATTGACTCTTTTGGTTGAATGAACTGCTTAGGTTTGCCTTTATTTGCACACAATTGAATATTCAAGATTATGCTTGGTTAAAAATGATAATAAACTATTTGAAGATATGAATAACTACATGGATTTGGCTAGGATAAGACAAGCAAAAAGTCCGAACCTCTAGATTGTTTTGACTATCATGAAAATAGTTTATTGAAGTCTGTAAAAGCCAAATAAAGCAGAATTAATTATTTTGTTATCAAACTCAATCTAAATCTCAATTTACATACATAAAAACTAATGATCGAAACTTTTCAAAACAAACAACATCAATTATTACAGAATTTCCTCAATATCGTCAATCAGTCGGTTCTGTAAGATCTTTGAAATCTTACGCAATTTCTTTACGATTCAGTTGTTTGTCAGCTATAAAAAATTAGTTTATTTCACTGACTTTTCTTCTCATAATTTATGACTAGGAAATTAAGATTCTTTAAAAATATATCATCTGTCACACTAGAAATAGCCATGAGAGACTTCAAAAGCGATCAATTGACTCAATTGAATTTTTATTGGCTTTTTAGAGTCGCCCAATATTCATTACAGCACTCGAGTCAATCATTATTCTGTAATAAAACTTACATATTGTTTGAGAATTATGAGATGGGGTTGTTTGGGGTGTTGGGTAGCTATGAGTAGGCTTCTTGCAAAAGTATTTCAATTTAATATAAAAATTCCATTGAAACAAACTTTGAGGTCCAAAAATCAGCACTCTTATGTGACCTAACCCCACAAGACCCCCTCTATTGCTTCTGTGAAATTGTCTACTGTTTACATATGTCGGTCATGATACTCAATTAAATCAGATGTGCTCTGAAAGTGTTGTTTTGCCTCGATAAATGCACATTATACTTTGCTTTATTTTATTATTCATAAAATGAAATGAAAGAATCTTTTTTTTTATAAATTGTTTAGTCTTTTAAATCCACTTGAAGTCAATTTCATCATCATTATTGTAATTAAATTGTGATTACTGTGTTTATATCTCTGTTGCCATGCTGAATGCGACTTTCTGTCAAATGTACAAATATTTTCATTTATGAAGAAATTGCAGTTTTTTTTCATGAGACGACTGATAGATAAATTAATTAATTATCGCTTCAGGTTACGCAATTTTAAAATATTTAAATTTTTATAAACAGATAAAATTATTTGCATTTTATGAGATTTTCTTCTTAGCTTCTTATTTTTTTTTTTCGTGTGTATGAGAACAAAAATAATTTTCATGATGCTCGTTAAGTTTAATTAATGATAAAGTTTTTTTAATAGATATACCTAAGAAGATAATGATTCAATTAAGCGACAAATAGAAAAGATAAGCATATTTTAACAAAGATTACTCATTGTTGATTTTTGTAGCATGTTGTTGGTGGTTTATGATTATGGAGTTTTCGAGCAAATCTGAGTTGATGAATGGGTGACTATGGAAAGGTTTCTGGCTCTGCCTTGGCATTTTTCGCTTAGACAGACATTTTTCTTCCAAAAACTCTGAATCCGTAGATAGGGGGGGGGGGGGGGGGCGTCAACATTTTTGTCTGTAAATAGGCTTCCTCATTCGAATTGAATAACATCGATTAGCTCAACTCTATCCATTTCCGATTAGCGTATTCATCAACATTCCAAACTATTTTTCACACTTTATGTATGCATTGTGCATCCTCCAATAACCCCTAGATGAAAAATAATAATTGATGTTATTAATAGGAAAATTCGAAAAAAAATTCAAGTTTGCAACCACTAAAAATTGATGATGAAATCCTTCATATAGAGATATGAGTTTATTGTTTTCAATTTTTCATCCTACAGGTTCATTTTTCAAGTTCAATGGACCCACCTTTGCATAGCTATGTACAATGTTGAATTGAATTAATGGAAATTTCGTTTACGTTTCTGTTGAAATTTTTATTCATGTTTGAAAAATGAGACTTTTAAAGTTCATGAAAACTGACTGAAATAAAACTATTCTAAGCGAATTTAATGGTTGATGTTTCTAGAGCAGTGTTGTACAAACTTTTTTCAGCCACTGCACACTTTGACTTTAGATATTTTTTCACGGAACTCCTAAGGATGTCCTTTTGCACACCAGTGTGCCACGGCACACAGTTTCGACAACACTGTTCTAGAGGCATAACAAGGAAGGAATCTATCGACGGAATCGTCCTGGTTACCACAAAAAAATTACCAAAGATCACATCCAAAAAGATGAAAAATATAAAAGTTCCAAGCAACAAAAGCCCTTACTACGCCCCAGTGGTTAAGTTAGGGTAGTGAATTTTAAACCATGTGTCCCGACACACTAAATTCAGAAAATCTCACGAACCGTAAGCTGGTGCTAGTCGTGATACGGTTTTGTTCATGACTAACCATCAAGACATGTCGCCCAAAAAAAAATTTGGTTGGACTAGATCAATCTCATTTAATAACCACTATTGTAGTACATAGAATTGCATACTCCTTGTAGCCCTAGAAACTGCACCCTATTCCAATGAGTCTAAAATAATTTATTTTCATCTCTTAATTTTAATTTAAATCCAATAATTGATAAAAGAATTTCTATAATTTAAATGCGCCTAAACCAACCAACTCAAATAACTCTCTTACTTGCCTCAAGCACTTTTATCGCAGCATTCGCAATATTACACAATATTATGATGATGATCACAAAACTCTTACTTTACTCTACTTTAAGCGATAAGCTGTTGCTCTATATAATCACACATCTGCCTACATGCTGTGGCATTTTTTTTTTGCGGCAATAATAATGATAAATCTCTAACTTACAAAATACCTATCTCCATCGTCTGTCATCAGCTCAGACATATATTTTATTTATCTACTTAAAGTTTAGGGCATTCTTATAAATGAATGAATTATTACAGAAATGAAAAAAATTCTAAAGAAGCCTGCATGCTGCAAAAACAAAACTCGATCGTTCGATTGTTTTTCTACTTTCAATGTTTTCGTATGTCAAGTTTGAGGAATAAGAACTGAGCAACTGAAAGAAGAAACATTGTGAGTGCTTGAAGCAATGCTCAAGTCGACGACTGTAAGCAGAGAAAAGAAAGAAATAAATTTTTTTCTGTGTTGCTTCAAAGCAGCCTTTTCCATTTGCTGTGCTGTGTAGAATTTTTTTTCTCTTCTTCTTCTTCTTTATTTTATTTTATTTTTTGTTGTTCACTTTTTTTTCTATTTTACAAAATTTTATTCGCTTCGATGTTCAGTCAGTCGCGAGATTTCGTGGCGACAAGACATAGGAAATAGTCGTACGGTACCGGATAGATCCTTTCAGTTTTGGATTAAGTAGTGCAGTGAGAAGTGAAGCTTTATATACTTTTTTTTGGGAGTAAAGTGAGATTTTTCTCAATTTTTTTCCCTCACTTTTTTTGAAAAAAAAAAAAAATAAATTTTCTGTGTGTACTCACGGTGAGAAGGGAATTTTAAAATTTATATAAAAATTGCAAAAGATCATTAGAATTCAGTGAGCTGTCGGGCGAGAAACTCAACAAAATATTTAAATCGCGTGAATATCAATTGAAATAATCACGGGTATAAAAAAAAATTATTCAAATTGATATGAGACAAATTACTGAAGTTGATAATTGAAGAAGTTCAAATGATTAAAATGGAAATATATAAGGAATTCGAATGAATTCAAGTGATTTGTGAATTTTGTGAATAGAATTTTTTTCTGGTTCCTGTAAAATAAATACGATTTTTGTGGATTATTTTTGAATAGATCTGACTGTGATTGAGATAAAAGAATGGAGAAAAACAGTCTTCTGGACAGCAGCTAAGGGATTAAAATAAATTAAAACTTAAAATTCGATCAAATTGGACTAAAAGAAATCACAACTTAAGATTGAATTGACGTTATTGTTATATTATATGCCGAAAAAGAGATTTTGACGAACGATAAGGCTTATCAAATTTCAAAAAAAGTGATGATTGTGGCTTTAAATGAGTGCTTTAGAAATTTAGAATGATAAGTGTTGTCAACCTGTAATCTTTATGGTTTTAAATATTCTCGCACTTTCTAAGGAATTTTTGATAAGAATTTTCTGATAAAACTCTAGAAGAATTGTTTTTTCTATTTTTACTTTTTGAAAAAGTTTAAAAAAACTCTACAAAAATAAAAAGAAAATTTAAAAACTTTTTAAACTTAAAACTCTACAAAATTTATGTTTTTTCAATTTTTGGCAATTCAAAGTTTTTAAAAAATTTAATTTAAAATAAATTCAATTTTCAAAAGAATAATAATTTCAAAGATTAATAATTTCATTTTTTGGCAATCCAAAGTTTTTAAAAAAAATAATTTAAAATAAACTCAATTTTCAAAAGAATAATAATTTCAAAGATTAATAATTTCATTTTTCAATACTTTTAAACTTTTATAATTTCAATTTTTAATAATTTGAAATTTCAATAATTTCTCTTTTTAATAATTTGAAATTTCAACAATTTTCCTTTTTAATAATTTGAAATTTCAATAATTTCACATTTTAATAATTTGAAATTTTGGTTTTACATTTTAATAATTTGAAATTTTGGTTTTACATTCTATTAAAATTATTTAATTTAAATTTTTACTATTTATAAATCAGATTTTAACACTTTTATAATTAAAGCGTTTTGGATTCAAAAATAATTTAATTTTAAATCTCTACAAAAATAAAAAAAAAAAAAACAAAACCTAATGTTATTAAACATACAAAAAAAATTAGAAAACTTAGAAAATTGAATTTTTGCCTTTTTTAAAAAAAATTAAAATTGGAAAACTTAAAATTATTCAAATTTTGTAATATTATGGCAATACTAAGTTAATTTATTTACAATTTATTAAAAATTTTAATTTAAAAGAATTTTTAAAATTCAAAAAATTCGCAACTTAATTAAAACTTTTAAAAATATCATAATTCACAAGAAATTTCCCAAGAAAATCTTCCCCATCTCACAAAAAACATTAAAATAAAATCGCCTGTTGACAAAAAATTAAGAAGCTAAAAGTGAAAAAGTGACTCATATTAAAAAATAATAAAAAGTGACAGAAATTTTAAATGCAAACAAATTCTGATGCTGATGATGAAGATAAATCTTCATCTAAAGCTGCTTAAACTCTTGTGGATAGTTCTTCGTCTTTTCTTTTAGTTGCCTCCGATGCATAAGTATTATGATGTGTATTAAAAATATGCAACAAGCTGTGAAGAAGTTTTGAGAAACAAAATTTATTATTTTCACGAGAAAAATTATCTTTTAGAAAATTGAGAAAATTATATTTGATGGGGGAAAAATTTCTTTTGATTCATTTTGAGGATGAAATATTTTTTTGAGACTGAATTTTGCTCGTTAGTGCTGAAATTTGTAAAGAAATATTTTCTCTAATTTTGAAAAATTCTCAAAGAATTTTTAAAAAATCAAAAAAATCACACCAAAAATGGTAAACAATTTAAAATATTCTTTACTTTGCCATAACAGATCAAGACGTTTCGTTTTATGTGCTTAGAAAGCGCAATTTGATTCCTCGATCATAAAAAAAATTATAATATGGAATTAGCATACGTAGATAAATAGTTGACTATAGCAACTCTATTAAAGCGAAGCAAACATTATTTAGACTTGTTATTCTGGTGTTTGGGCTAGTATATAAGACTGTCTGATGTCTATAGTAGTTGTTGGAGATGTAATTTTTAAGAATATATCAGAGTCAAGATTACAAAGATAAGAATAACTCAAAGAAAGTTCAAAAATTTAAATTAATTTCAAATTTGATCGACTAAGTCACAACATTTAACTGATTTCCGAAGATCGTCTTAATTAATCTTCAGTACAGATGCTTCTAGAGACAAATCAAGCCAACATAATATTCAGGCATTTTTCTATCAAACCTTACAACTTCCAAAAACTCACCACATATTATTCATTCATTCAATCAAAATAGACATCCACTCCACCATAGACCCTTGCTGATACTTACATTATATGCAATAAATGCACAGCGATCAAGCGACATGTAAAGATTTCTTCACTTTAATGCATTCATTATTATTCTAATGATGATCTCATTTGATGAAATCTTATTCTTCGAAACTTTCTTGTTTACATGACTCCATCAGTCAGTAGGTTAATGATTTTTATAGAAATTAAATAGATCTTTTCTTCATGATGCAACTTGATCTTTTCTTCTTCCTATGTTTATATACATTTTAAGAACGATACTTGATGGAATTTAGCAATAAGCATCTGTCCGAGAGTTGCTATCAATTAATGTAAATTAATTTTAGATCTGCATAAACTTTTTCGGCTAATCAAGATCATGTCATAAAAAATATTAAGAACTGAACATTTAAAGATCGCTAATGACTTAATGAATTTTAAATTAAGATTAAATAATTTTTATTTTCATCATTGCTTTTTCTAGTTTTTAATAATCTTGACAAACACATACGTATGAGATTGGATTAGATTTCATAATAGCGCCAGGTCTAAGGGGTGGAACTAGGAGGGTTTGAGAGGGCTGAACTTCTCTAAAGATTGACATTTGTATGAGATTTAAATTATGATTCTCTTAAAAATCAAAATTAAATTGACAAAAAATTTCGGACACTTTAAATCGAAGGTTAGGAGCTCCCTCAAGTTGTGAGAGTATTTCAGGCTAATGATGGTCAACTCGTGTGCCGCGGCACACTAGTCTACTCTTAAAACCATATGCTGTGTCCGGTTTTGTTCTCATTTTACCATCAATTGTGCTCCGGCACAAAAAAGGTTGGACACTACTGTTCTAGGGTTGTCAAAGCCTCCTCGAGTCCTCATACTTGCCTCAGGTTATCTAAGCTTTTTTTTTAAAAATCAGAGCCTACCCTAATAGAATCTCTAACCACACCCCTGATCACTTTAGCTTACTTTTCCTGTCACCTCAAATTTATTCTACACAATTAAACCTTTAATTCTTCTCAACGTCCGAAAAGAATAATTTATGACAAAATATGAAAGAAAATAGACTAATGTAAATGCCCGAAAATTAGGAAGAAAATCTACTTTAAGAGTGTTGAAAAGTATCAGATGTGCGTAGTGGATAAAAACAAAATAAAAAAATATTTGTGTCATTGACTGCTTCGGAAGAAAAACTAAGTGTGTATACATATTTAAAAATTCATAAGTCTGCCACTTTAGACGTGCTTACTTTCTGTTTGTCTGAATGAATTAAGATATTGTATCGCGGGAAAAAAAATTAAGAAATAACTCAAAAAAAATACAAATTTATTTTCCTCAATATTTTTAGTGACTATAAATGCTTCATTTTGTAGACTTTAAGAATTGCTTTTGCGATTATGAGGTCAAAAAATGGCAAGGCTATTTTGATAACATATTTCTTATGTATTTTTTTTAAATGAACTCCGGATGAACATTTTTTTTCTACTTTATATAATTTGAATAACAATTTTTCTTCTCGCGTTTGTCTTTCTTTCTTCTTATTTTCTAAGATTGTGATTATGAAGTTTGCCTGCATTTTCTGATTTGTAGTTTTTTTTTTGCTCTAGAGCTGAAATCCGCTTGTAAATTGAGGTAATTTTAAAAAGTTTTTTTAATGAATTTTGATACTCTTTTGATGAATTTTTGAAGAGTTGATTAAAATTCAAAATGCCAGAGTCATACCTGCTAGGTGCCGGATTTCTATTCGATTAACCGAATTGTGCTATTTTCCAGGCTCAACAACTAGGCGGTAATTAGTGGTAGGAGCTACGCTCCTGCCAGGCTTGAAACAATTGAAATAGGAATGAAATTATGCTCATAAAATGAATTCTCCTCAAAATGTTGAGCTTAAAGCATTATTTATTAAATTTCTGAGTAAATCTAGCAACAAAAATCATTTAAAAGCTTCAAATCAAGATCAACTTAAAACAAATAAAATGCGTGAAAAGAGAAAAATCCTTGAAAATCCCGACAATTAAACCTTCCGTTGTAAATAATAATGATTTTTATTTCCATATGTAAATGACTGAGCATATAAAACTTCAATATAATCGATGCATTCCATTCGAGAATCATATCAGACTGAACTCTTAGTTTTAAATTCATTCCTCATTTCTCGGAGCTTCCATCTCATTTTTTAAAAATTAAAACACTCACTCTTTAGGTTGATTAGACTCTTTAAATTTCAAAGCTCTTTAATCTCCTGCTCTCATTATTTAAAGATTTAAAATTAGAATTTTAATTACTGGAGCAGTAGAACAGTCAATGATTATAAACGAATTTTTTTTTAGATTGTCTCGACATTGAAAAAATATATTTTTTCGTGACCTATTCATAAACTTTTGATTAAGAAATTTGTTCCGTATGTTCAAAATAATGATCTTATTTACTATTTTTTATGTACATCAAAAAAATATTTACGTGATTAAAAAAAAGATTCTCAAAAAAAGTTAAGA